AAATAACTACTAAAAGCTATAACACTTAAATCTACACCCTCTCCAAAACGCCCAGGTTGTAAAGGCACTCGACTCGTCATCTGAGGGTCGCGGGTTCGAATTCCCGTCCTGCCAAACATGCTCGCCCTTTCAGCCATGGGGACGTTATAATGTGACGGTCAATCCCACTATTCGTTAGTAAAAGAGTAGCCCAAGAGTTGGCGGTGGGTGGTGATGACTAGCTGCCTTCCCTCTAGTCTTACACTGCTAAATTAGGGACGGCTAGCGCAGATAGCCCTCGTGTAGCTTTGCCCGAAATTCAAAAGAAAAGTATTATCCGTAAGTTTAATCAATAATATATATTATACGCAAAAAAGCATGGCAAAAAATACGGGGAAACACTTGGACGGAAGAAAATATTTTCACGAGATCTGGTTTTTGTCCTAAGCAGTTGTAGAAGTGTTTATCTCGCCTGTCAGTACATTTTTTGCCATCCGCACAAGAAAAAACATGGAAGAACAACAGAAAATCTGGCTGTATGTCTATGTGCTATTACTTTGATGTCTTGCATTTTTATTCCAAACAGTTAGTGATTCTAGACTGTGAACCCGTGGATTCATAGTTTGCTATCTATTTCCTCAAAAATGTACTCCGCATTTTTGGCCTATAAGATCAGTACAAGAGTCGCGGCCAAACCACACTATTCGATCAAAAAATTGTAGACCAAGCTAAAAATTAGGGTCGGCGTTAAGAAGGTAGCCCTTCATGTAACTTTGTGTGAAAATTCTGAAAATACGACTGTACTAATGACGTAAATAGAACATTGTATTATGTTGTTTCTATAATAAAATAATCAGTTACAGTTATAGTGAAATTAGAGCGAGAATAAACAAAGTTTTAAAATGCGAGAGAAGAACATGTAGTTTAAAGGAAATTATCAAGAAAAAACCAGAAGCGTGAAAGAACTCCTGCACATAAGCTAACAAGTTTTAAGCATTACAAATTCATTGATTACTCTCAGGATTTTACTTAACGATATTACGGACAGCTACGAAATATGTTTACTCCATTAAAACGGTAAACTCTAGAAATAACTTAACCATGCGAGAACTCTAGCCATGTGGATATTCAAATCATACCAAAACTCTAGAGCTACGTGGAGATTCCAATCATACCACAACTCTAGCCATACAAAACTGTAAGCATACGAAGACCTTAGCCACACAAAGAACCTATCTACATGAAGACTTGCCACATGGAGTCTAATCACAAGAGAATCATAGCTACACGGAGATTGGCCATGCGGTGATTCCATCTACACGGAAATTGGCCACACAAAGAATCTAACAACATGAAAATTTACCAAATGGAATCTAACCGCGTTAGAGACTAGTCATACAAAGAATGAAGACTTAACTGCAGGAAAATTCTAACCCAATCTAGTTTTGTTAACTTAGGACTTGGGAAACAAAATAGTTTTTGTGATGGTTCATAATTTACTGACTTACTAGATAATTTCCAAACTACGTCATTACTTTCTGATTGGTACATCAAATTAACCCATTTCCTCTTTCTACATCATAATTGTGAAATGCTTTTATACACAAGGACATGATGGACAAAGGAAGTAAACAAGTTGCTTAAATGTGATGATAACATGTAAAAGAGAAAAATGTGCAAATAAAACTATTCAGTGGGTGGGACAGGAACCCTACTGAATGGCAGTTTTGAAAAATAAACATTATTGAGGCTACTGTGTGGAATGGGTTTGGAGAGGACTAATGTGTTTTAGTAAATCAGTCAAGTATAAATTCTCAATGCAATTGATACAGTCTTTAAAATAATTACATTGGTTTCCCTTTAAGATAAAAAAAAATCAAAACAGATTCCGGATCAGAAATCCGGAAAGACCCGGTAGAAATGAAGCACTGAGAAGAGGTATGCAGGAAACATCTTTTGTCTTAAGTTGTTTTTTTCAATGATAATTTAAGTTCTCATAGTACTGATTAGCTATCTCAAGTTTGCTTATTTTCTTTGTTTTACAATTTTCACACAATGGCAATTTGCACATAGTTGTTTCTAATCTTGAAATGATAGGTCAGAGGGAAGACAGCTAGTCAGCAACACCCACCGCCAACTC